GACCGGTAAGTTGTATGTTTACTTCACACCAGAGTGGATTGATATTGAGATTTCCGCAGGCCGCTCGCAAGGTTGTTCCGACAGGCACTGTCCGAGGCACTGAACAAGCTTCACAAGACCCTCCAGAAGATGTCTCCGCCAACAGCTCACGTCTGAGTGCCCTAGAGAAAATGGTGACTATGCTTTTATTGCAGCTGTTTTTAATGTGCTATTTTATGTTTAGACATTCTGAGGAAACTATCCTCAAAAGGACACTACGTGTGCACTTACAAAATGTAAGGGTGGGCTCTCGGTGATTTTCATTTTTTTTTGTGCATTGTCAACATTGTGAATGGTTTGTTTTTAGGTAGTGGAATCGAAAACTTTGCACCACAGAAAGTTGTGCACCTTGGGTCTGAAAAAGCGAGCAAAGTGCTCGTATGGGATAGTTGTTCTTCGCTTTTACATCCATTTTTTGTTTATTGCAGTGCGTTCCTTGTGCCAGCGACAATGTCTCCATCAATGAAGTACAAGCAAACCATTAAACATCTGCAAGCCAAAGTAGCAGCACAGCGGAAAACTATCAAAAGACTGCGGAGACAGCCTCACTAAACTAACCACTTCATTCATTGCATACATTGTTTTGGTTACCCGCTATGAGGAGTAGGGACACTGTGTATTCGCTCGAAGTGATTTGCATAACCTTAAAAAGAATGTTGGGTATCCTGTCTGTACTTTGTAGCAAATGCGGGCGAACTGTACACTTTACGGTGGGTAGCTTGGTCACTGTGTATGTTTTATCTCTCCAGCTCAGTAATATATCGATAATAAAACAGCTTGTTGAAATGTCTTCGAGCGGGTAAGGAACACAGTATGAAGTGGGCACAGTTCACGTTATCACCGCTTTTTGTATTTTAGCGTCTCATCAACCTCCTCATCTCGCCCCACCAAAATTTTCAAAGAATACCCAAACTTGTAGCGTTTGATGGGGCTGCGGACGCTGCCATTTTATTTTTATATCGCTTGTGAGTGATAACGTACGATGTAGAGCCTTTGTGAAAAATAATGAGCCAAAGTGGTTTCCTTCTGCTATTTATTAGCCCCGTAATACCGCTCTCGTAACACCAATTAAGGTCCACAATTCTGGATAAGTGATGGCTACAATCTATTTAGCTCGCAAGCGTCACAACAACACCCAGACGCAAATCACTTCGGATCTTAAGTTTTTGATGATAAGAAGAGCCACAAGACCTGCAGTGTTTGTAGCACAAAGTTTGTCTTTCACGTAGTGAGCAAGCTGCAAAGCCCTACCTTTCTGATGGACAAGCAGGCATCAAGTCTGCTTTTTTTTTTTATTTTGGGATAGCTGTTCTTAAGCACAGCCAGCACACTGCAGCTTTGCCTTTCTGCTATATTGTGTCGTGTGGTTTCTGTGCACTCGTTTTTTCTATGCATTATTTGGTTAACCCCAGGCGTGATTCGCGACTTCATTGCTGTGTATATGTCACTTCTTCCTTCTTCTTCAGTATTGTGCGCTGTGTTTTGCCATAGGACCCTTACTTACCCACGGGCCCGGTGTGTCCTACTTCACAGCTTCTCGGCTTCTGCCAACTCTAGCGATGTGTGCGTTGTCGTGTTCTCTCTGTATTTGTTACAATTTATTTGTAAGGCGAGATGCATTTGTTGTCTACCTTTGTCATATTGTGCTTTTTATATTCTCAGACTCTACCTTGCCTTGAATAAAACATTGCGGATACTCTGTCTCTTTCACTGATTATACATTGATCACTTGTTCCAAAATAACAAGTGAACAAAAAATCAAGAACAAGCGCGATGATAAAATCGTAGTGAATTATCACTAGCATCTCTCTTTATTATAACTTAATCGAATAAAGATAAAAAAATAAAAATTCAAATTTGCGCCTGTGAAACCGAAACAGGAAGCGCACGCCACTTGCTCTCCCAACCACCAGGTGTGCTAGGGTCGACTGGGCCGCTGGGGTCTACGGGAGTGTCCACTCTTCACCTTTCTTTAATTCTCTTATGGCCACCCCACGATGCACCAGCCGCAGTTAAAAGGAAGCTCGTGGTTTGCTCTGTGTTGCATCAGTCAAACTTATAGCGCCCGACCACTTTACTGTGGCTTGTTCGCTTCACAGCGATTGCGCTTTATAACGCGACGTGCTGCCATTAACGAACTGTGCACGCACCATGGGCATGCACGAAAGCAACAGCGCGGCCAGTCTCTTATTCAAAGCTGCGAGAAAGAATCAAAGGAACCATCTCTACGCGCGCGCATTCATTGGCAGGGAGTCGTGCGCCCGCTGACCGCCAAACCGGCCGCGTTCGACATTCGGAAGCACCGACCATGCCGCTCGATTCTCGGCACAACATCGACCGGCCTCGTGTCTTCGATCGACCGTTCATTACAGGTCAGCCCATGCTCAGATCTGCCATCAGCCCATGCCAGCCCATGCCATGATCTGCCATGGTCAGCCCATGCCATGATCTGCATGACGCAGATCATGATGCCCTGAAGTGCTCACAAACGAATGCCAGACGTGATCGAAGCCTGTCCAGTTTGTCAACTAGCAGCTATGTATCTTTCCCCTACTATTAACATCGATCCTGTTCGTAGTCGAGGATTACATGTCCGAGTTTTGCGGTAACGCAGGTGGGCATCGTAAACGGACATGTACCACAGAGGTGGGTTGATCCCGCTACTGACCACTGGTCCACTAAAACCAAAAGCAACAGTTAGTCCAACAAACTGGTATGTCTCACAACCTAATGTCTAATTACCGGAAAAGAGAACTGATTTAAGTGCGGCAGTCTCTGAATAGAATATTTTCGTAAATTTCGAACATCGCTTTGATTTTTTTCCCTGAAACCACAAGATCTTAAGGTTGCTAACAGTGAGACGTGTTAAAATTCGAGATACTTTATTAGAAAGAAGTGAATAATGCATTCAGGAGGTTCCTGCTAGCCCCGACGTCGTGGTCTAGTGGCTAAGGTACTGGGCTGCTGACTCGCAGGTAGCGGGATCGAATCTCGGCTGCGGCGGCTGCATTTTCGATGGAGGCGAAAACGTTGTAGGCCCCTGTGCTCAGGGATTTGGGTGCCCACGTTAAATAACCCCAGGTGGCCGAAATTTCCGGAGCCCTCCACTACGGCAGCTCTCAGTTATATGGTGGTTTGGGAACGTTAAAGCCCGTATACCATACCAAACAGGTTCCTGCTACTTTGTGTCACGCGTGACATCACAGTACCGAGGATAAGCACGTTGCCGGAAGCTAGTCATTTTAAATACCGGGTACATAAGCTACACGTGCAAATAACGCGGCCTAATAAGAAGCCCAAGAGGATATGGAAATATATAAACACACGAACTCGTTTCCAATGGCAAAAGTATGATTACTTCTATTTCGTTTCACGTGGAACGTTTCGCTTCACGCAGAGGTGCATTGTGGAACACGTTAAGTTGTCCACCTCGGCTACGCAATCAATCACAAAAACCAGCAGCCTTGGCAATGATCGTGTCACTGAAAGCCCGCGAGTGCATAGCCATGGTCTGGAAACTACTTTTCTGAAAATGGTCCATGTTCACGATCAGAGTGTCAATTACAAAACTTGATCCACTACCCTCAGCGACTTTTCAGAATAGTTGTCTCAAGTCAGATTCCTCCTTATAGGGCAGGGTACAAAATCATTCCATAGTGCGGTGCTTTCACATTCTACACACTGCAACGCTATAGTCGCGCTGCAGTGAGTTGCAAAAACTGAGAAGCCTAAGATCCCGCGCCGCCGAAGTCTGTGCAATCTCCTTGTATGGCTCCGCCGCCATGAAGAATTCGCCCTTGCTACAAGCAAGTTTCCATGAGCGCATCGCGTGTACGAAGCAGCTGAAACCTTGAGGCTGCAGGGATAGCGGCGGCCGTTAGGACCTTGCTACAGAGTGCGTTATGAAACCTTAAGCAATGTCTGTTTACACCGTGAGTCTATGTTTGCACCACTCACAACGTCCGTAAGCGCTTCAAGGCTGCCCCCCAAAGGTCGCTCAGCTTATCAGGCAAACAAGGCTCAACGGACGGAAATGGAAAAGACCTGATCATCTCCGCTCATTTCCGCTCATTTTCAGTCAACGTCGTGGCGAAGACATTCGACCACTGATGCCGTATATAGCTTAAAGATACCAGCGTAAACATTAAGTGATACTAGCTGCGTCATAAACGTATCTTGTTTTCAAGACGTGCATAGCAGCCCGAGGCCGATGTGGTTTCATCCGTAAGTAACAACAGCTCAAAGCGATCGTCAAGTTTATGTGGTACAAAAAGGTACACGATAAAAGGAAACAGCCGACACAGGCGGCGATCCAGTCGCCACTGATGTTAATCTTTTCATCTTGTAACATCTAACGCACACGCAAACTTCAGTGATCTTCCACGGCAAACTTATTTACTTGGCTACGGTTAAAGTGTGCAATATTATTAATAGTATTATTTTTTTCTCCTGGTTTATCGTGATTCCAGTGATTTATTGTGTCCCTTGAGGTGTCACTGAGCTTCAGTACACTACTGAACCTGGGACTTCTTCATTCCTCAGCATGCTCATAAGCGCAATATGAGGTTTTCTAATCTCTCCTTTTTTTTGTACTTCTTATGGTAGAGAAGGGTGCTTGCAAGGTTAACAATTGCACACACTTCCCTACATTCCAGTAATCATCTCACATTGTTGGCCTTGCCATCATAGTGAGCTTAGAATATTTTCTAAGGCCTGTAGTAATATCATCGCGATCATAATCGTTTCCTTTCAACAACTTGGGTGATCTAGCCGCGGGATTGATGGATTCCTGCCGCCAACTGACACTATTGGACGGAACATATGTTGTGGAACATTTCTAGAAGGTATGTTATATAGCTGTTTTCTATAATTTGGTGACGCAGATCATTCGTTATGACATAATAACTGCGAGTAGACGCCGTCCTGGTGCAATAAGTGATTCTATTTTTCCCACATTTCAGGGTCAAGAAAAAGACACCCGCAAGAAATTCATCAAAATCGGCACAGAATATTGACGATGTTTAAAGCCTCTGAAATTGTTACAACAGAGAAAAAAAACGCGGAATACGACCCAACCGAACAAGAGTATCTAATTGGCCTAGTTATGGGCACCAGTTATGTAGATTAAAAAGAAGGAAGTAGCTCAGTGACTGTTGTCACATTCTTGGCCATCAGCTATATTCAACCACATTATTGACAGACAAAAAAAGATCGAGGGTTTCACTGATTTGGTAAGTATAATGACATTCTTATAACATACTACGTCAAAAAGCATGTCAGTCGAAAGGGACGGCGAATTTATGAGAGAAGCGATAAACATGCTGCATATACAGGTTTACACCAAACCAGGCTTATCTTGCAGTAAATACTATAAGCTCCACCCACGGAAGCATCTCACTTTTTTTTAATGTCATCAGCAGAGCCGTATCAGAAGTCCGTAGCTTTTTGAAATAGGAGCAAACATCAATTTCGACACATATGTTTTTACCCCACAGCATGCGCCCAGCATTGCTTATAAAATCAGAGTGCTTCTGTTCCGTTCTACATGGTAAGGCACACATTCCACGTGTCAGAAAGTGTCGCTGTTCGCTATGCACAAGTATCGGTAGATAGTTCGGTGCCTTGTGGCGCGAGCCAGGGCGCTGCTGCTGCAACATCAGAACGACGAGGGCGCCGTCTACGTGGACGTGGCCAAAGTCAAGAACAAGGACGCCTACGTGGCGGCGGCGGTCGCCGCAACGACGGGCAAGATCGTCACGTCATGCAGCGTGCGTACGCGGAGCGCGAGCCAGGCCGAGGAGATGGCGATAGCCTTGGCGGCGCGCTCCCCGGGCGTGCGGACAATACTCAGTGACAGCAAGACGGCCATCCGTAGCTTCTCGCGCGGAGCCGTGTGCGGGGCGGCTGCTAGGGCGTTGGCAAGCGACGAGTCCAAGTCGAGGCTGACGCTAAAATGGTTCCCGGCTCACATGGGTAGGGACCTGATACCAGGATCTCCGAACCGCAACGAGGAGGCGGATGCCGCGGCCCGTGGTCTCGCCACGTGCCGGACCGCGGCCGCGCCCGCCTCCGAAGACACGACGGCGACCAAAGAAGAAGGCGAGGAGCAGCTGCTCGATTACGGCGACATCCTCGCGTGGTACAGGGAGCAACGGCGTGGCTTCCCGCCTCCGCACAGGGATCTTACCCGGTGGGAGGCGGTGAGGTTGCGCCAGCTCCAAACCGAGACTGTGCTGACCCCATCGCTAGCGCGACACGTGTGCCCGAACTCTACGTGAGTGAAATGTGCAGTGTGTGCGCGAGCGCGAGAGCCACCCTGGCTCACATACTCTGGGGATGTGACGCAGACAGCGCGGACGGTCCGGTGTTACCGCCGCAAGTAGAACAGCGTGGGGTCTACGGACCCAAAAGACCAGCGAAGGGCCGTCCGGCAGCTCGAGGTCGCATGGCGCTGCAAAGGCGAAAGGGGGACACCTCAGAACCGAGCGGCGACGGGGCACGAAGGCTTGAGGTCTAGGCCCGCGTGACATTAGGACTTCTAGTGTAACGTGAGATAGGGTGAACCCCACGCCCTGCGCGGCCGGAGGGAATCCCGCATGCTGGAACCCAATAAAGTTATTCTCTCTCTCTCTCTCTCGGTGCCTTGTGATCTTTTTTATGTTTGCTCCCCATCTCACTTAAAGAACTGACGTCAAAGCATCGTCGAGGTCACCAGATAGCGAAAGTCGACGCAGTAACAGCACTGCATGGATCCGTGGCGATATGGCATGATTGAAGATCGAAACAAACACGGCCGATGCATTAAGTAGGGCTATTTTCTGCATTCCTCGATCTTGATCCTCGTTTGAGAGCCACACGTTTTCCTTCCCGTCGGTACAGCGTCTGTTTCAACTGCACTCATCCTTCCAGGCAGTTTTGAAAGTATTTACAGTCGGACAGACTTTCTTCGGCTCTACTTTCTTGTTTGCCCATGGCGTTCCACTCGGCTGAGTGGAAGAAAAGGTCAGCTGTGAGGACGTATGCGCTTGCGCGCATCCAGCATTAGTAATGATCAGATGATGTCATACGTCCCAGACATACATGAGAGAGAATGATAATTTCATTTGCCACGTGGAGACCTCAGTGGTTTCTCTGCCAACATGGAAGACTTAAGCGCTCAAGGTGCTCTAGCGGCACCCCATTAAATGCAGGAACGTGAGCTGCCGCTTCCGAGAGACGGTGATTCTAAGTGAAGGCAATTGGCAGATCACACGTACCTGAGAATCCACGTTATGCGAAGCATGCGGAGGAAAGGTGACCGTGTTGCATTTTGTTTTTATCGAGCGAAACGTCATGAAATGTCGCTTAATATATGTACAAATGTTGCACGCACAAACATATGTGGAAGAGTTGGAGATGTTATATAACCAGTTGTTTGCACTTGCGCAATGATGTTAACTGCAACATGCGCATTAGCAACACCAGAAGCTGATATGAAGCGCTGATGCTCGCGAAGGTGCTGGCCCGTGACGCTGCCACATAAATCAACTTCAGCACATGCACCCAACCACAATTGACATTAACCCGACGTGACGGCTGTATCAAAGTACTGCATATGATTGTTTATAAAATTGGGTAGGCAGCCTGCAACCGCTATTGATGTTCCACAAGATTAACGTCTATTTAAATGTACTTCCGAAACCTGGCGTAGCTCTGTGGTAGAGTTCTTGACTGCCACGCAGAATGCTTCAGTTTGATTCCTGCTGGGACTCTGAAATTTATTATTTGCATTCTTCCGGGGGTCAACGCTGCCTATGTGAGGTTTTTCTTAACATTGACATTATTCTCTGCCTTCGTTGGTCGACGCTACCGATGTCGGGTATTGCTGAACGCTGACGCGTTAAGATATCCCATGTGTGTTCTCGTCGTTTCTGGGTAGATACTAAGCGCCAATCACCTGTGGCACATACCCGCATACCAGCGGCACAGACCCGCCCGTGGGTATGTGCCACTGTCTGGCGGGAAGTGTTTGACGACGAACGAGACAGGGTTTTGACATTATGTCTTGACCAGCACGTCATATCGTCAAACCATCTTAGCCTCCCATGCTAACTTTGGTTCACGCCAAGTTAAGCGGGTGACCAGGAGAGCACCCAAACGTAAGCGGATAGATAGATTGTTTAATAGATAGACAGACAGATAGATACGCTCAATGACGCTGAAGTTCGCTAACAAATGTTTCGCATTTAAAAAGGGTTCATCTTCCACAATCCCTGCAGGATTGCGGCGCAGCGCCTTGCCGATCTCTGCGAGCATAAGCGTGCGCAGAGTATGGAATTACTGTATATATGCTCGGGTAGCATATACAGTATACCGCTATAGCGCAGGGTTCACCTCAGCACCCCTCCTCCCCTTTACTCCTCCCCTGCCGATTGGTATTTGTAATCGATTCGGGCAAAGTGTGCTGGTCGACACTTGAGTTAAATTTTGTATAGCGCCTTCTTCATTGATTGGCGCCTTCAGTCAGTTTTTTACGCGCAGATTGTTGCTGATACCTTATTTGAGGGGAGACAATAGCCCCCCCCCCCACTCCCTTGTACCCCCCCCCGGCGCCCCCCCAGCCTCAAGGCCTCTTTATACCTCCGGGCATGCACTTACTGTGTACGAAAGCAGCATTGTTTCAGGTGACAAAAAGAAATAATACCTAGAGTTGTACAGCGCTAAGTCGCTACTTGTTCCCACCGCGTGCTGAGAAGACCTACCGCCGCGCATGATTAAGCCTGCTGGAGCACTATGCGCTGTACAATAAATAGAGAGGTACATTCCCCCACATACATTGTACCTCGGTAGTGGTGCTTTCCTGATTGTACATGCACCCTTTGTAGTCGTGAAGCTCGATGTTTTTGTCATGTACTTTATCCTTGGTTGGAAGTCAATAAACTTCTTTTTGATGCCGATTGGTCGATTCCGAACGAGAAAGAGTTTCGCAATCGGTGGACAAAAAAAAAATAAAGCGGTGCAATGCGGCTAGCAACGACCTGCCTTTGGTCCTCGGTTTCTGGGGGTATCGATGGAAAGTAAACAGTTCTTCGAATGGGACGTCGTGGATATTTGGCCACCACTATACCTTCGAAGCCTGCGTGGTCATAACCCTGCACATTAAACAATGAGGAACAGGTCCAAATGCAGGTATGGAACTGGCCAAGTGTCCCATTTTATGATTGCGGAGAGCGGCGGCACCGCCCCCTTTTCCTTGTGCGTGCGCCTGTGTCCACGCGCACAAGGGAGCTGCGTTACTTCTGTGCTGTTACGTTCCTGATAATTATGAAGCACACGTATGTGCCTTGGAGAACAGCACGTGATCCCGTATAGAGAGACGATGTCCAAACACGTTCTCGATGCAGTGAGCGTATCCACAAAGAGAACCTGTATATATAGACGTAACCGTAAAGGAGCTCAGAGAATCAGGAAGTGCGGAAGTCTACCCATACTGCAGTATGCAAATCTATGGCCGATACCTTTTTGAGGATGTACGTGGTGTGCAGTGCGTCAACATTGCGCGCGCTACGTTTAGGGTCAATAATACTTGCAACCATGATGAACGTCTTTAAAGCAGAATCGATATGCTCACGACTCAGTACAGCGCTATCCGCAAGCGTTTATGGAGGAAGTCACTATACGGTTGCAGTATATGCGCGTACAGTTTTTTACGACCGGTGCACCGAGATCCGCGAGGGCGGACGCTTCGAGCGAACGGCGCCCGCGTATACTCCCACCTGTGGCGCCGGTAGATGGGGCTCGTGTAGCTTCCTCTTCTGCTGCGGACCGTTGTCGCGGCGTCGCCGGGCGTCTGGTATGTGGGTCATTGACGGCCAGCGCGAGGGAGCGTTGACTCTCTATTCGACGCGCGTAGTTGCCACTTGCAGTGCATGCGCACGTGTTCGGAACCTAACAGCGCCAGCAGACGGCTCACGTGGTCGTTAAATTTACCGTCGTCTGCTTACCTGCTTCGCGTAGACCGGAAGATTACGTAAACAGAGGCGCCGCACCCACGCCGGGCCGTGTCGAAAGCAGCCGAAAAGAAAGTCTGGTGGGGAATAACATTAGCACACAAACTTCGCTTACCAGCGTACGCGCATTGTCTTCTGTGTTGGCGCCAAAAACACCCACAGAAAGTGTCGCGCCAAGGTTTTGTTCACGCTACCCGTCCTCAGTCCCACTCGCAACACACCGGCGCTCCTCTGCTCGCTTAATTCGATTCCCTCACTGCTCGTTGAAAGCGAAGACTGTAGGCAGTTTTAGTATTTCCGGTTGACGTACATGTGTACTGGAGGAATGGTGAGAATAAAATATTACTCTGTGGTGAGTACAGAAACGGGGGCTTATAGCAATCATGGCAAAATGGTACCCGATTAACGCAGTAGCACTTAGCGGAACGCCAGTGACCCGCATGCAAAAACAGTAGAAGCGATACGTTCGTATGCAGTCGAGGCATCCGGCATTCATTAATTAAATAATCAAGCTTTCTCTCCTTTTTTTCTGCCTTCGTTCTCTCTTTCCAGCTGATGAAGTAACTTCGAGGGCTAAGACCTTATTGGGGGTGAGTGTAAGAATCCATATTGGACGCGCAACACACGACAAGAACCCGAAAGGAACACCAGAGTCAAGCATAACCAAGCTCCATTTCCCGGAAACTTTGAGGAGTGCAAGACCTAGTGCCATCGCATATTTCATCATATGTGTATACACTAAAGCTTTCATAGACAGCTTTTCGATAGCTGTTTGGCGTTGACAAAGACTCCTTGTGACGTGACTCGTGAAATAGGAATAAAACGCGTGTGAGAAATATTCTACAGAGATGAATCTGCAGCGGCGAGTTTTCGTCGCTTTCCTTCGAGGAGAGGAAGCTTCTTCCGCTGAAGGCAGGGCCTGAATTCAGTCACGCGGCTCTGTCTTCGTGTGACTATCTCGCAAGACTGTTTCCTCGTGTTGTCACCGACACCTTGTCCCACGAAAAGGACAGTTTCACGACTGAGGGCAGCGTCAGGAAATAGAATTCACTGTTGCTGTCGACGCACCGGTGTGTACATGCAGGTCGTGCGGATGTACAACCTTCCTTCTTTCGATCGTGGACGCCGCTGTGTCAGGGCGTACTTCGTTTGACAAGCGGCTTGAAGGAACATACACGAGCAGCGTACATTTACGCGCAGTCTTGTAGGAAATGACTGCCACTTTGAAGCTGAATGAGCTTCTTCAAGCCACGAGGAAGGGCCCACTCGTTGCCGCGCGCTATTGATAGGTTGGCGTGGCTCGGACAGTTCGATGGCGATTTCTGAATTAGACCCCAACGCTCGCAATGGCCATGCACAATCACGCTGCTCAAAACAGGACAACTCCTCTGTTCTTGCGTCCAGGAGCGTACAGGTACGTACGTAGTGACTTGTCCTGTGACCATCGCTCGTCTTACGTACGTGCATTTAGCGCTTACATAAGTTATAAAGTTATCCATCCTATAGCGGCATTATTTTCGACGCCATTTGCGCGACAGGAGCCAAGAGAGCCCCTGCGTAATCCTGACCCTCGCAAACTTTCCGGAGCGATAACCCGCGTGAATTGTCTTTAATCTGTAACAGGAAAAAGAGCTGCATGCGGGGACAACCACGGCCCCGAGTTGATGTAATTGGCACGCGCTGCCCCGACGTAACCGTACTCTTTCTGCATATTCGTTCGACGTCCCTTTGAAGCGGCAGTCGGTGCGTGTGATGAGAGGTGCACGTACACGGGTGCAAACGTCGCGGCAAGCTCGAAACAATGCGATATTGTCTCGCTGTGTGCGCTCAGGCCTCGCATGAAGCTGGAGCAGCTCCGAATCGTATCAAGTGTCCATCTACATCTGGTGATGTGCACATGTGGTCGTCTTCCGGTTTCGTAGAGCCCCGTTTAGGGAGACTCGTGCGCAACTGTCGTCTGCCTAGCTTCAGCAATGATGATGTTCATACAACAACCCTTTAAATGGCTCTTGCTGCGTAACGAAGCAATTTTTTGTTTTGTTTTAGCAACGCGAAAGTTGTCGAAGAGCTTCCTTCTTTCCATCTTACGTTCGCTACAAAGGCTTCAGTGTCACACTTTTAGAAAGAAGTGAAGCCGGAGATTTAACTTATTTATATTTTATGGTAATCAACATTTTTCAGCGAGAAGAATGCGGTACGAGTTTCATACTACGCCACATCAATTTCCTGCTTAGTATTTATTGCCTATTTTCTTGAGCTGACAATGGCTGACTATGGTTGCTTGATAAGGAGGAAGAGGAGGAGTGTTGGTTGCACATAGATCTAGCCTTCTGCTCATCTAAAGCGCTGCCCATCAAACGCCGTACAGTTCAAAGTGCATTCTATTTAATTATAGCAGCAGCATGCAGCGTGAAATCTAAATTACTTTGACCCAAACACTATGCCATTCACACTCCAAATGGGGTCACACACGCACTTTAGAATGAGCCGAAGTATGTTGTTGTACTGTGGTTTCCTGAAAAAAAGAGACTCTTCTACACCCCTGAAGGCCCTGAACCACCCACCAGCCTTGGTGGCTTAGCGGCTATGTAGTTACGCTGCTAAGCACGTGGTTAAGTAGTTGCACTACTATGTAGTTTCACTGCTAAACAATCTAGTTTCGGTGGCAGCATTTCGATAGAGTCTGAAAGAAAATATTGTGCCACCTGTGGACATTAACTGGATTACTCGTACGCGAAAAGGCAACACAAGTATGCTGAAAGGGTAAATGGTGCTTAATGTCACTTTCAAGTTTGCAGTAAATCTATTTGAAAAAAAAATGTTGGTTGACACTCTTGATCTTGTAAACCTATCATGTTTCTGTCCTGCGTAATTTTAGGTCAGCATGTTTTTAGAGAACATCAGAATGACCAAACGGGTTTTTCTTACTGTCCTGTTCAAAAAATGCCCGTGTACTGTGTACTGCGGTATGCTAAGCCACGCCAGATGGTCCAAGTTGATTTGGTGTATTATTTCACTGCCAAGTTGCTAAAAATTGTAACGTGATTTTGCATGAAATCCAAAATTACACTTTAATTTAGTCCAAATCGTGTCGTACTAAACATAGAGAGCTGTCGAATCACTTGGCAAGTATCTCGCCATTGGTACTTGATGAGGACCTCGCAGACGACGCTGTACAATATTCATCCTTTTTTGTTTTGTTTTCGTGGGAGCCAATGTCTGACAAATCTTTGCAGACGGAACTTTGTATTTTAGTCATAAATGGTCTTGCATTGTCAATTTCATAAAGCTGCAGCGCTAAGTTTTTTTTTTTTGGAAGAAAACTATTACATCCGACTTCAACGATCATTTCATAGATTACCATGCTGCAATGGTTAAAACACCTGCGAGGTAAAGCTGCGTGAAATTCCCAATAGTTCCACCGGGTGTGTAGACTTCCAATCGAGAGGTGACTATAGAAAGAAGTCTGTATGGCACATGGGTAGAATTAATCAACGACGTTATAGCAAAACGTCAACTTGCCACTAACATTTGGTACGGCCCTCATGGGAAAGGGGTCGTCAAAACAATGCCAAATCTCGCTGCATGCACCAGAACAGCACACGCAGTCGAATGGCACCGAGAGCTCTCGCTCCGAAAAAAATGATCACAGGAGCGATTGAAACTGGTTTCCTATCCCATTGCACCATGTTTATGTCTGGCTTGCCCGACCTCGTCCTTCGGCACTGGTGCACCGTGTATTGTGTGTCGTTTCTTTATCCAGACGGGCGTGGAACTGTAGTGAACTGTGACCCATTAACATGCATCCCGGCACCAATACGAATTGCATAGATGGAAGGCTTGATCTGCGAGTCAGCTGATTCGCCGATAATGCAGATGGGGAATCCTTGCGGAAAGCTGCCACCCTCAGAACCTTTTCTCGTGTGAAGCGAGCCGTGAATTGCAATACAAGCCGATGTCCTCGCACAGTGTGCTGCTAAATGTGCCACCAGGTCACACAAACTGCAGGCCGCTCTTAAAGGAGTATACTGACACTGAAACATCACAAAAGGGACATTACTCGGTTCCTAGGCATGCATTTCCAACGCGTTCCACACGCCGGAGTCAAAAACACGTATAAAACGTTTTACTTTCATTTTAAGTATTTCGTCGCTGAGCATATGCAAGCAAATCCCACCGCAATGAACGAATCAACGCAGTTCCCAAGGGTTTGTGAACTCTGTGTCCTGCATGCATGCAGCCTAAATTATAGGGATCACTGTCGAGGTCACTGGAGGATATAATTTAGTGATCATTGTTTACGTGCACCACGAGCAGATGAAAGATCTGTCACTGGTACGTCGCGAGTTGCTGCTTCCATGTGGAGTCACTCTCCAATGACGCGTCACTGAGACGGTGCTCCCTTTATATTGAAGCCGAAAGTGTTCCTATTTTTTTTTTAAGGTAGCGATATTAAAAAAGCATATTCGATGTTTTCCCGGGTACGAATGTGCTCTATCTAGGGTTTCCGACATCACTGTTCTTATTTTGAACAATACTCCAAAATCTTTAAAATCGTATTCATATTTTTTTGCGAGCTTGTCTCTGGAATGAGGTAAACATAATTTTGAAGTGTAATTATCCTTTTCTAGATAAGGACCTTGTCCTTCCTTGTGCATCGTTTTTAGTTTTGCCTGTATACTTTCAGGTGAAAGTCGACTGGACTAAAGACAACGCTGCCACGGCAGAAGAGTATGAAAAGAAGACACAAGGTTGAAAAGTTTTGCCTGCAGCTCCTAAATTGTGACACTAATAAATTGTCTTCTCCTATACTAGATGGGTGTGATGGTTCCATGCTGTTACGTGATGACACGTACATTCTGCTTGTGCGCTGCTTGTAAAATCAAGTTATTCGTAAAGGTTACAATCGGTCACGATATCCGCTTCGGTCGAGAGAGACTCTCTTGCTCACTGCTCCATTTTGTAGGCGATCGACTGCAGTCGCCACCCTCTGAACTAATCAGATGGGCAAGAACAGACCATCAACCTATTTTACGGGGAAATGACAACGCGAGCAGATGTTACTTCTGTGTGGCGACAGGTATCAGTCACACGCAGGTGTGAACATCCCTCGTGTAGAGTTGCTTCGTGATCGCCGGTCACAAAGGATCGTCCGACTGGTAAGTGAATGATGCTTTAGTGGTATTCGTCCTTACGGAAGTATGCGGATGACGCTCCAGTCAACGCCCTTAATGAACGGCCAACTGTGAGCATATGATTCAATTAGATCGCACCTTCGATAAAAATATTAATATCATTTTCTCGACTAAATACCATGAAAGGAAATAAAAAGAGCTTGTTATCAAATAACGATAACTTTTTGGCATACGTGTGTGCCCCTTATACTACACGGCAGTGGGAAGGAGATCGGAGATGGAAAGGGAAGGAGGGAAAGAAAAAGAAAAGAGAAAGCTTGAAATGTGCATTGTCGTTGCGTTTACAACTAAAATGTGACGGCTTTTGAGCCAACTTCGGGATCCGCTATACGATGGTTCGAGCCCTGTTTGCTTTGTATCAGTAATTCGTTGTCAGGCTTGGCTTCAAAACAATACACAAAGTGTGCTTTTGATGGCGCACCACGTGTGGTTGAGGGAGAGAGAGAGAGAGATCTCTTTATTAGAAAAACAGATTTTTGCTGGCAACGCGACAGCACTTCCAGATTGTCTATCGGGAAACTAAGTGCATTCTGTTTCTGATTTCCGGGTTGTCAAAAGTGTAATAACGCCATCCTTCTTTCTCGACACTGTATCGCTTTCAACTTCCGGCACGTTCGAAGTGAGCATCACCTCGAAGTGAATCTATGTACTAGATGTCCAAAGGAGATCTACAAAAGTCCAGGTTGAGTCATTGAATGTATGAAAAATTTTAAAAAAGCACCTCTGTTTTTTGGTGACATTTTCAATTCCCCTTTCTCCCCATGCCCCGCTAGCGTCACACATCTTCCTGGTGTTAATTTTGCCAACGATATGTCCACCTGCGGCAAGCGGGGGAAAAAAGGCATGATAAAGAAAAAGGCAGGACTTGCAGGAAGTGCATGCATGAAGCCGCAGGCACACATAGACAGAAATGGGCGACACGCTCGGCGTAGGCGAGACGGAAGTGGAAACGCGAGTAGCTGCCGAGGCGAGCCTTCCTCTCGTCGTCGCGCTTGTCGCGTTGCCAAATCGGGATCCCGAAAAGCCACCGCAGTGCTCGATCCGCCACTGGGACACACACATTCGAACGGAAAGCGTGATACTTTCACTGAGCCCGGTGAGAAATAATGCGAGAAGCAAAATAGAAGCAAATGCGACAATGCATAGTTGAGGAAGTGTGTTGCCTCGACGCATTCCACAGAAGACGCCGAGTGGCATGCACACAAAAACGGCCTCAAGTCCACAGACTCTTCCTTGTTGCTCATTTAGCTGGAACTAAGTCTTTAATGGTGTTCGATCACGCACACCGCCACTGAACGCTATTGTAACTTTTTCAATATTCAAAAGAGGCTCTGACAGTTTGTGTGTGCGTGCGTGTGCGTGTGTGTGTGCTAGTGCGTGTGTGGAGAAAGTAGACGTTTTAACTGTATTGCTGTCTGTTTCTAAGCTTGAGAAAACAGCGACATTGCAAAATACATTCAGATCTGTTGCATTACTAAGTGTCAAGCAGGAAAATTTTCGTTGAGCTCAAGTACTGCTTTGTTTGCACATCAATACGCCTTTATCCGCAACTCTGTAAGACAAACAGTGAATGTAATTATCTCACTCTCTCTTGCATCTTGTAGTTGTAATGTTCGTTACACCGTGTTACTTGAGAGCTAAGATAGCGATACATGCTGCGAACTGCAACTGTTGCACTTCGGATTTGGTACTTGTGCGAGGCGTTGCATCGCATAAGCATATCGCACAGTGAGTGCAATCAAGCCATCATGTCAACCATGTTTGCAAAACCCTGCTGACACTGATATCGCTCCCAGGCTACTTCTGAGTTGTTTCGAAAGGGGCCACGCGACTTCTGCGACACTCGACTGTTCTTGTCCACGTCACCAAATCATGCGGTGACCGGTAAACTTCACGACCACTCGAGATTAACGAGTGGCCACATATCTGCTGCTCATGTGATTCCAGCTTCTGTCGGGATGATAAAACGCTCGTTTGCATTGCACAAGCAGAGGAAAGCGATATGGTGGTTGAAGACAATGTAGGCCGACGCCCTTCTGTGTTAGGGTGGAAACCTGGGCTCGTTGGTCGGCTCGCATTTTGAAAACTGCTTTGGCGCACGAAATAAGAAAGCGAAAAGACACGATGGGACAAAGCGCCCTGGCCTCTATCCCTTTCTCTTCGCTTTACGTCATTTTGACGTTGGTCATAGCATCGTATTAAGCTGAAAGTGTGGGGAGAAGTCTACTACTTCACACACACGCAAAACAGTAATGACGGTTCACAAACCTAATGTTAGAGTCACAGTGGAAAAAACGAAAGTTCTCTCTATTGGCAACCACAACCGCCCAAGGCCGCGCAGGAATCTAGGGTAGTTACTAATAGTATCTATCCAAAACCTAGATGATGTTTATGAAGGACCCTGTAGTGGAGAGCTTCGAAAATTTTGAACAGCTGGTGTTCTTAACGTGTGCTGACATCGCATGCATCGATATGCAACCAGCCAAGGCCGGAATCGAACCCGCGACCTTCTGGCCAGCAGCTGAACACCCTGGTCACTGCTCCACCGAGGCGGACTATATAGGTCAGTTACCTTGTAAGAAAAATTCAACGAATAATAAGAATCGGCTGGATAGTACGGTGGACATTCCTAAAATTGTAACCTTCAGCTTATCGCCTGTTTCGTTATCCATTTGCATCGTTAGGTTGTGTCGAACAAAGAAACGCCCTCATCGATACTATATAATTGTACACTGAACACCTTTCACCTCAAAAGGGTTGAAAGGGTCTTGAACCTCCAGGCTTGAATGAAAAGGCTTTCTCTGCCGCTAACGTAGTTGTCCATATTCACGCACACACTTTGAGAACGTTAAGACGAAAGCATACAAAAGTTCGGCGAGCGCGATCATTTGTGTCGAAGTGCCAACGAGTGATTATCGTGTTACACGGCACAGCAATGCGTCCGTCATTGCACATTGTGTATTGTGTTGTAGACATATTCGACGTGGCCTCTGTTACACATCGTTGCAGAGTACTGTGCAAGATACAATGTTTCTCCCCAGGAGTGCTTTGTAAGTGGACTGCAACTGCTGGGTTTGCATGGCTCCGTGGCCTTTGTCATGTCGGCGCGTGCTTGTTTCAAGATATTTGTAAGTGGTTTTTCTCCCATGCTGATTTTCTTTGTTCTTTTCATATGTGAAACCCGGTGAATACTTCACAAACTTCACGCGGCCAGACGCCCTGATTTCGGCAGGATGGGTTCAGAATGTTTACAAGGAACCAATTCCGCTACTCCAAAGGATACGCAAGCAATCACATTTCGCTCACACACTCCGAGAGTGCAAGTTTTACATCTTTGAATTTTTGCTAAATGTAAACGACGCATGAGATTTTTTTTTAGGAGTAAGAAAACAGTAACGATTAGAATGTTATCAGTGCTATCTCGTACTGCTGTCGCTGCAGGAGGGTAGAAGACATATAACTATATAGGCTGAAGAACTTGCAGGGTTCCTTAAGTCGACTCAAAGGTGAACCTAGTTTTCTCCTTTTTAATCTTAGTGTATGTGAAAGTATACTTCTCTTTTTCTATCTCAGTGTATGCATTGATCCTTTCCCACACATCTCGGAAAAGCTTTCAGCACCTAACGTGCATGGCTTGTGACAACGCCACCGACGCGCGACGCCAACGGTAGATTTCGGCTTTTGATGAGTTATTTATAAGGTTATCACTCTAATGAATTCCGTGCTTGTTTGCCACGAGTAAATTGTACACGAGTTTCGAGCACGTTCGTTTGGGAGAAGTTGCGAAACGTAGATGCAGCGCACCATTGTCAGACCACTCCAGTTCTCAGCTGCGGCGCGATTCCGACGACATGCTTCATCTTGCCCTTCCGCAGAGCGGCTGACATCTCTATTCAAGAACACTTCCTGACGAACTCGCAGAGAAATGTATAGAAGCAAGTATTTTCGCAATAATCAATGTCTGTATGGTGATCTACGCAATCTTTAAATAAACAAGTAAATGAATTAAAGTAAATAAAGTAAATGTAAAGTAAAATTAAATTAAATTAATGTCACATTCATTTAATTGAAACAAACAAGTAAATGAAGTAAATGAAACAAGTTCAAGGAGATGGGGTCTCTAAAAGTACCCCTCAGGCCGAGGCGCGCTAAGAGTAAGGAAACAGGCCAGCAAAAATAACGTCACCGCTTGTGTTATCGAAACCCTTTCCTTGTAAGAATTATTAGTTATCGGTTGAAGGATACATTGTGTACAAGAAAAGAAAGTGTCCTGTATAATGCGACAATGAACAAAGGCCACCTTGTATTAACCAAATGCAGCTTTTAAGCGCTAGAGTAGAGCTCGGGTAGTAGGGTTCTCGAGTAGCTTTTTCGATAGAGGCGTAAATTCGATATAAGCCTGTGTGCTCAGATTTGGGTGCAACTCCAGGTGGTCGAAATTTCCGGAGCCCTCCACTACGGCGTCTCTCATAGTCATATGGTGGTTTTGGGACGTTAAACCTCACATATAAATTAATCAGTTTCTGTTAAAGAATACTCTCCAGTGTCTTAAACATACCTTACCCTGACGCATCATTTGTATACAATGTCGGTGTGGCAGCTGCATGTACGTTGAATTG